GACAAAGCTAAACTGCTACTCATAGCCTAAAATAGAGATCGACCTCATGAATGCGCGGGAAGGAGGAGGGGCGTCGGGTTCCCCCTTCCGACGCCCAAGTTGGGGTGTATGTCAAAAGCTATTTTTATTGCCAGATGGACAGCAAATAGCACATAATGAGTGTCTTATAACTTTTTAGATTAACTTGAAATACACAAGGAGATATGTTAGTTAGCTGCTTGGGTTGTTCAATCTTAATACCTGCGAAGCAATTCACACAGCAATTTTTAGGGCCAATATCCATAAAATTGCAGCTAAGAATGAATTCGTAAATATTTTGGTCCGTCCTCCAGAAAAAATCACCAAACTCAGCAAGTGGTAAGCTCACACAGATAGTAGGCCAAAGCACTCAATCTGGTACTTATTGAAGACTCGTATAGCAATAAATTAGGGTTTTGAGTCGGTGACAGCAGGAGAAATTGCGCCTCTTGTGCCGGGGTGCACGGGAAGAAGGATCGCTGCTCATGCTCCCCACACACCCGAATGTATAGGTTGGTGGGAGAGGAAGTAGTGGGATCATCTCCCCACTCACCTAGCCCCAATAGGAATGGCCCTATATAAAGCCTGAAATGGTTGAGGAAGTGTCATTCATTTATTTTCAAACATTGGAGGACCTAAGTTCTTTGCAGTTTACTTTTGAAGCTTCACTTGCCACTGAAAACTACTGCTGTAGTATTGTAATTCGTCATTAAGCAGTAGTTCTAACCATGAGGCTGTGCCACAAGAAAACCAATTTGAATGCCAACATATAATCTTTATCCAGTAACCTCCCATAATCTACGTTGCTAATTATGTTTTACAAGTGATTCCGTAACTTCTCGCTTTCTAATAATGGCGCGGCTTCATTTTTTGACGTTGTATAGACTAAGATACAAATTGACATAAACTCCTTGCTCCTTAAATTCGAAGAAAAATTGCAAGTGTGAGGAGATTCGAGAATTCGGTTATAAGCAAAATTCACACGTGACAGTCTGAGGTTATACATGGTTCGTTGATGAAAGTTGATTTTCTTAGCTTACGAAGAAGAAATAGAATTTACAAAAAAGTCGAGAACCGTCGCCTTCACGAAGATGAACGAACCCTTGGCTGCTGGACATTTGGAAGCTGCTGGGGAACAACAGCCAGTGATAAAGAAGTCGGAGTCTCAGAATTCGAGGCTTTGGTTAGTGGGATTATTTGACTAGCCGAACACGCATAAACATTTGTTGAAGTGACATCTCTTTTTGTTTTTGGAGTAAAGGTCTATTCCATGAGTCTATCGTAATCTTACAAAAAAAACTGTTAGCGAAACAAATAGTGTTTTCCTGATCAGCATTCGGATAATTCCCTCCTTCTCCTCCTCCTTCCCCCCCCCCTTCCCTGGGCCAAGTCCCAGCCAAAACTGTCATGATAAAGTCTTTCTGTGACATCATATACCGTATATCCAGTGTAATCCTCACTGTGACGTGAGAAACCGGCAGGGCAGCAGCTGCAATTGTATCTTATGTCATAGTCTATATAATGTCAAATTCGGCTGTTTCATATTTGAAGAGAGAAGAGTTATTGAAAAAGTTGTAAAACTTAGTTTCCAATTTAGTAGATCGATACCCTTTTTGGTTGGGTGATAGAAAATTGCGCGGCTTCACGTTCGTTTGTTCTTTTAGAGCACTAGAAAACGTAAGATCGTTGCAGATTCTTCTGTAAAGGAGGCTATGTAGGAAGAAAATCTTCAATCTGTTTTTCTAGCTGGGTATGAATAAAGCTCCGCGAATTGTGCGAATTAGAATCCAAATAAAGGTATCCTGAACTCTCTCTGCTTTCCTTATCTCCTTTGACAATTCCAAATCTGCGCTATACTCAAGATCAGGGATCGGCACGAGGTGGCTTTCAGAAAATGCAAAAAACGAAGTCCCCCCTTGAATTTCGCTAAATTTTACGAATTTCCCTTTGATCCTAAACCCTGAACGAAAACCCCTCAAAAAAGGAATTGACTAAAAAATACGTCGCAATTTTTGTGTCTCTTCGGCCACAAAGACAAATATCCCCTTTGCTTTTTGTCCCAAAAACACAACCCTGCTTGCTTAGTTACAAGCCACCGTGCAGAGACCTGCTCAAGATAGGGTAGGACCAAGGTTCCGCAAGTATTGGTTTCGAGCATTTTCGAAAAGAAGTCCCCATGTCTTCGCACAATCATCCAGAAGTCCTTTCAAAGTATTACTAAATGGGATGCGGCTACAAAGTTTGACTACGAAAGTGAATAACTATCTGTTTTAGAACAGCGGACAATGGCATGGGTCACATCAAAGTCTACAGTCTAGCAAGAAAAAAAGAGCGATACTTTAGCTTATCAAGTTAACAGAAAACATTTATAGCAATGACAATCCTCTCTCTGCACCTCTACCTGCAATAGCGAATCATACATTGGAAGAAAGATGACCAAATATCTAACTCACGCCTTGCATCTCTAATCACCTTGTTCGGATATGTTGAAGCTGGAATGGAACGCGATATTCATGATAGTCCAAGCCAATCAGACGCAAAACTCATGTGAATTCTCCGATAGTCATGCTCCGAACAACCCAGTTGGTTTGGTGATGGTCTGGATGCCATCAAATCCGAGAACAGGTATTGGAGGGCATAAGTTGGCGAATTTTTTTTTACATAATACAGTCAAATGTGATATTCTATACACACAGAAATTTGGTGTCATAAGATCAACTGTGCGCTGCAAAAGCAGTTTGCTTACATGAGCATGGTTTTGAATTTGGCATGCTTATAAGAAAAAAACATGATGGGACATGTCGGCCACATTACGACTTGGTGGTGAAGGAGGTGAGCATGTCTGGATGTCAGGCGTAATCGTATTATTTTATATTAGGTTATTCCGAAAGCAATTTCCTTTTTCCAAATTGGCGCCACATCTGAAGGAACAAAGCTTTCTGGAAGATCTTGCTAGCATTCGATGCAGAAATTCGTCCTCTTTCTAGTGCTTATAAAATCTTTACAACACAGCCAATGAGCTCTTTAAGAAATCCAGAGATTCTGCGACCGATGCTTTTTGCTATGGTCAACTTCAGCTATTTTTCAAAATCTTTGTATGAATCCTCTGAAGAAGCCCAAGTAGCGAATGGATAGAGCAAACCCTGTAGGATACAAAAACAATTTTTCACTGCTATCCGTAGCTCGTTATATTTTTTAATAGAATTTTAATTGATGGTACCAATTTCCATTCTTGGTCAACTTAAACCACGTAGAACATTAAACGGTAAGCAGCTCGGGTGTCATTCGATGCAGCTTGTTCTCCTCTTTCTAATGGGTGTTTTTTGTTTCCGATCTGTTCAGTCTTCGGGGATAAAATCATCATAACTCATGTTTTTGAACACTTCCAAGCCTGTACCCAAAAAATTCGAAATTTGATATTTCGAATCCATATACTCTCATTTGCTTTGTAAAACCAATATCAAGTCGTATATCATTTTGGAAGTTTCAAATTCCGAATATTTATTGATGTTTGATGCGAATGTGGCTGACGTAGGCCTGCCAAAATCCGATGGTTTTGGTAGAAAATCTTTTAAAAAATTACGGCGAGCTATGAAAAAGAGCGAAAAGTTGTACTGTTTCCTATGAGGTTTGCTCTTTCTAATCGTTACTTCAACTCCTTCTGAGGGTTGATATGAAAGTTTTAAAAAATTGTGAAACTTGACCATCGCAAAAAGCTTGGGTCGCAGATTTTGGCAATTTTCCGAAAGCTCATTGAGTGTGCTGCAACGATTTTATTACTTTTAGAAAGAGGATGAAATGCTGCATCGAATGCTACCAAGATATCTTAGAAATCTTTGTTCCATCACATGTGGTGTCCGTTAAAAAAAAGCGAAATTACTTTCGGAATGACCTAATATATGCTTAGCATGTCAGAAATGCCGTTTTTGCTATATGCCCCAAAACCAGAGCATAGTTTGACTTCAATTCTATACCAGACCATGCGTAGAACATAGTCTTTGTACCTAACCATAGCTTTACCGTTTCCAATTTGCGTGCTCTGAAAGAGCGTGAAAAGTGCCTTTACACACATGCTCCAGATGCTGTCAAGATTCGAGTTGGCCAGACGAACTCGTTGAATTTGAACAGCCTAAATTTCGTATTTTTCGAAGATGCTGGAACTGGCTCATACGCAGAGTCTGCTGCAAAGATCACACATGCTAGCTGGAAACGACATTCTCTAAGTTAGAGAAAGGTTGAGATTCGTAAGCTTTTCAATCGTCATGAATCTTTATGCTTAACGGAATAATCATTTGAAGATCAAGAATTCCATAGAAAATCATCAAATATCCAACAATGACCTGAATACTATATCCTAAAACCCTTTTTTTGCGCAAGCTTTGCTTCGAATGACGCTTGTTTTCAGGATTCCCAAAAAAGCTGAGCATCGCTGAAAATGACCCTTGTAAGTGAAAAGCTTCAAGCTCATTTATTTTTGTAGACGCTAGGTTGATTCATCAATACTCAACTTCTGAAAAGGAGAGTTATTTATGGGTGATAGAACTCGAAAGCTTTCTGCTTGCTCTCCGGGATAGCTTGTAGTATTTGATTTTCCTTTAGGATTGGAACGATAATGCCATTTTGATACTGGTCGCTTAAGCCCCACGTCCGACTTCGAACATCAATATACCAGTAGCAGCATGTGCTTTAACAGAAGTAGTAGCGAAGTTTTTTGGTATGCAATAACCTCCCAGAAAAAGATCCGAAATCCTTCAAAGTAGAGTAGACAAGCAGCGTTTTCAGGAAGAGTCGGTAATTGTGCTCAATTTCATTATCTGAGCTACGTGGCAATGTCAATCATTCGTCTCGAAGCTTGAGGAGATACCTTTAAAATTAACTTGTCTGTAACAATAGATGTAACTTGACGTTTCAAATACGAGTAATATTTGGCAGTTGCTTGATCAAAAATCAAATATTATTTTCAAATTTATTGATCAGCTAAACCAATCACAAAAGAAAACTATTGTTCTATCAGAAAACAAAAAGGTACAGTGATTCAGTGCAGCAACATATAGCAAAGATACCCAGGGTTATTTCACGGAGAGCAGGCAGTTGCTGTGATACCCACAGAATCCTCGAACAAAATTGAAATGGTAGTGTAACAACGTTGAACATAGAAATAAATACACTGTTTAAGTGATTTACTGGTTTCAGGGATGAATGACAACTCGAACGGCAATAGGACACATCGGCATAGTAGTTAAAACTCGAAGGAATATGACTCACAATCTGCGTAACTGTCGCTTTTCTCAATTCAGACAACATGGAAGCACTTCTCACAATGATCCATTGGTGCTGGTGAGAAAATACGGATTTGAGGGGTACTGATGTGAGTAGGATGAGGGGTATGAATAGGGCGAGTAGGTGGTTGTATCCAGCGGGTAGTAAGACGTCGGGTAAATGGGGTAAGTGTTGTAGACAGTCGGATTGTTGAGCGACACAGAGAATGGAACGTTCGTGGTTGGAGTTAAGCTTTGAACCTGAAACAATAGAACAGATATACGAGATAGATCAAAGAGATACGATCACTAAATCCTGAGAAGTGGCCGCTTCGCACTACAGTATCCTGCGTCGCGCATGCGGCAGTCTTTCCTCCCTCTTTTATTAGCCTAGTCAAAAGCCGCTACAAAACGTTTCACGCGCGAATGCGATCCAAAAGGAAATATTCTGACAGCGTTACGGTCGTGCGATCGGCAGAAACCTCTCTTGATCCCTCTACCAATCATGAGATATGATGATCTCATATTATTGGCTTGTGTCACTCGCACTTCTGCTTCAGTATCATTAAAAGATCTACCAAATCCCCTCCCCCTTATCGCTGCGTTTCATGTCTTTTTAACGCGAAAATGAAATTCTCCTGGACTTCTGAATCTAAATGCTGACCGTCGATGAAGCATCACTTGTCCACGATGTATCTCCGATACCACTGCTTCCGCTCGCTGGCGTCTGCGGACTTTCTCTTTTTTCTTCGGGGGTTGTGGGCTTATGAGGAGAGCTGAAAAAACAAACAGAATATTCCTTAAACTCACTAACTCTAAAAAACGACTGACTTACCCTGATTCCGGTTCACTGTTCTGAGGAACATACGTTGCCTCTTCTTTAGTTATTGACGGCGATGCAGCGGCGGCAACGCCTAAATCCGAGTTTAAATTGGAACATAGGACTTCAGATCTCTAAAACTACCTGCAGTATCCTTCTTTTCTACTTTGGGCTTCTGCTTCTCTTGTTGTCGGTACTTTGCCCGCCTATTCTTGAACCAGACCTAACGAATGAGCAGTTGAGTATCGCATCCTGTGCATTTACAGTCTCTCTGTTACCTGAATTCGGCTTTCTTGAAGTTGTATTTGTTCTGCGACTTTTTCGCGGGTGAACACATCTGGATATTGAGTCGCTTCGAACAAAGTCTCAAGAACCTCAAGCTGTTGGCGATTGAATGTTGTCCTTTCCCTTCGATTTTTTCTTGGGATCATAGCTGCAAAAGAAAAACTGTCTGTATGTTTTTTTTTTTCTTAATAAGATACGTCTGATAGAGAAGAACCTGATTTTCAATGATACTGATCAAACTCTGCTCTTTTGCGTCCTCCACTTGGGTGCAAGCACTAATTGCTACTAACCTGCGTTATAACCCGTTGATGGGAACATGGTCATTGCCGGTACTGTACTCATACTGTAGGTAAACGGCTGTGATGATGTTGTAGATGATTGACAAGGAATATGAGCGTACGCGAACGCAGCCGCAGCGCTATTCATATTGTACGCCATGTCGGCAAATTTACTCCAGAACAGTAACGAAATCTGAAATAGCAAATCAGTCAAGTTCATGGATTTTACTATTCCGAAAGCTGTAATAGAATGCTTATGTTCACAGGAAGAAGAAAACAGCGACTTTTACTATTCACAACTTTAAAAGCAGAGAAGTGCGAAAAAAATAGGACAGCTGAGAAAGTGATGATGACTGCAGGAAAACTTTTCATCTCATTACGAATCTTGGTGACTTCTCCAATTTTCAAACTTTGTTACAATGATCGGCCAGCAATGTTTATCCCCAGGTGCGAAAACTCTAATTGATCCCGGATGTTCGAGAAGATTTGCGATGGTATTAGGAGTACGTAAGCAATGACAAGAGCAAATAAGTTTTAAATGAGCTCAACACATGTTACAGTAACATCGAGGTGCACACTAAGCGGCTTAGTGTCTCACTAGCGCCCTAAAGAATAACACTGCTGATATGGGGGGACCGCGACTCCACCTGCTGCCAAACGAAATCAGATAATCAATGCCAAATATACGGTAGCGAGGGCACGAGCCGAGTACTATGAGACATTCGGAAGCAGTACAATTTGCAGCTATTTTAAAAATACTCAATGGGGAATCTCGGTAGGTAATCTCGTCATTTGCACCCTATGAACGTCAAGGATTTTGGGTTATGCAACGACAAGTTGATGAAAATGTGAAAAGTTCAACAATTGAAGGGAAATGAGAAACAGCGACGAAAAATAATTAGGTATTGATGTTTCAGGACATCACGACGGCACGCGCCACCTGTTGAGAGAACCAGAAGTGGGCGGGTCGCTTCGTAGCCAATCGCAGAACCTCCTACCGTATACATGTGTTCACGAAAGACCTGGATTTTCACAAATCAATGAAGTAAATGCAATAAACTTTGACGATAAACGATCGATAGTGCATTTGATTTCGTCAGTGGGTGCTTGTTTCAATGTTAAGGCCAACCTCAACGCATTACAGTAACTTGTTGCAAACATTTGATAGGCTATGATAGGCGATGTGTTTTGAGAAAAGTGTTAACAATTAGGTAGCAAATTTTACTCCAGACGTTCAAAGCAATGTTATTCGTTTACAGATATGTTTCCTGACTACTACAAGGGTTAAAAATCTACCTTTATCGCTGAAACTGAAAATGTTCTGAAATTATCGTCTTACCTAACTTCCGCACCTTATTTTGAAGACAATGACAAATTCAAATTGAGAACGATTAAAGTCTTAATTATTGGTTTTACACGCTCAGATTGTAAAATTCGGCATTTACGAGCGCAAAACGGCTGCTACGACCTCCAAGAGTAATTAAGAGCCTCAGCGGAGTCATCAGTAGAAACTGGCGAAATAATACCATGACATTGGGAACAAGTAGACTACTTAGCTTTAAAAGTGCTGCTTATGACTAAGCTGTGACGTCAGTGACTGTAATCGAGAGAAGGGGGTTTGGACTTGGAAAGAATGGATAAAGAAATTGTTCGGCAATTAAAATTATGTTATTAAGGTTGTTGCTCAACTACTCGTTTTCTCTGGCAAGGGTCTTGGTATCTTTTGTTTAGATTTTTTCCTAAGTTTCACTACGTTATTTGATGAAAACAGAGTCAAGAATTACGAAATGTTCTGGATGTGAAACGATTGAATCAGAGAAACTGAAGAACTCCTTAAAAGTATTAATGATCAGTTCCGGTACTTGCTATGAGCAGCCCCATAAATGCGTATCTAATCATTCACCTGCTGAGCCAGGAAGGCGCAGGGGTCTTGCAAGTAGCTGGGAGATAATTTACGATGTGCGAAGAGTAAGCACGGAAGCAACTGAGGGAACTTCTTCATTTTGACACTCTTGCTCCTTAATTACTCAAAGAACCTGCGTTTAAGCAGACTTTCGACTCTCTTTCTTAGCTGCGTCAACAGAAATCCTCCATCTACAAAATGAAAGCGCTAAAGTGATTTCTCTTGCATAAAATCGTTCATGGTCAGTGTTTGCTACGATGAGAGTTGTCTTTGAGAGCATAGCTCTTCCCTGTTACCTTATCGCTAAACGTTATCTGCTGGCAAACCAGTGAAGACTTCAAGGCACAGCCAGCGTCAAGAGGTGCCAGTGGATACATAATTGACTCGTTCAACGACTTGCCTAGGGGAAACGATGAGATTTTCCGGTACAAGTGAGGCTATATTCGCACCACTCACGAGTAATCCTAATGATACTGTGAAGTGTGTGAGAGCAAAACCTAATGCTACGGTCAAATTAGCCGTGACTGGAAAAAAAATCAAAGCTGCAAAGCCAGAAAGATGTCCTCACTTTCCACACAGTTCTTCGACAAGTGATAGTAAGTTCTTATGATAAGATTAACCGATTTTCAGAGCAAAAGAAGCCAAAATCCATATTGGAATTTTTTTTAAAGCCTGATGAGCCGAGAAAAGTAGAACTAGGCCGAATAATCCAGAAAAAAAACCACAACAGTCAGAAGTTTATCGCAGAAAAGTGCGAACAAAGGTTCTTAACGCAACCTACATGTGTGACTGCGGGGTATCCGCGGCGCAACCGCCTATGATCCTCACTCGATGTGATGGAAAATACACGAGACTCATGAAATTCTATGAACTTATGCAAAACTCGAGCACAGCACGTCGAGTAGTCACTCGCAGATAGCAGATTAACAATATTGTTCCGAGTAGTGGCAAGGTGGGGGAAAATACCGAAATTTCGGCAGTTGTTATGCAGAATTTAGCCAGAGTAACGATTTGAGAGTGAAGTGAAGTCCTAGAAAAACATCAAGCCAATGGTGATCGTATATATCTAGAAATAGGAAAGCTCAAAAGCTGTTTATCATGATTTAGCAGGAAGTAGGCATTAGGAGAGGAAGTCTCATCAAAAACATTCACTGATTTGTATGGCACTTCGAGTTTACTGCTTCATATCGCTTCAAGTCGTTCGTTTCAGCCTAAGTTCACAGAATTTCTGCTTAAATGGTGTTCATCGCTGAGTAGCTGAGTCCCTGCTCATCCGTGATGAGTCAGATGAGTTCGTTAACACGCCTGTGTCCTTCATCCTTCTCATCTAGAACAATCCGATTGTAAATACTTGTATGCCCCCTCAAAAACCAATTCAATCGTATAAAAAATGGCAAAGCTAAGACCTGTGTGATCGATATGATGTCCTATGAAAGAGTTTTTCCGATCACAACAAGCGTTCTTGAGAAGCAACGGGAGGGGCAGAAGTGGTGCGATAAGGCGGCTGAACATGCAGTAGAACTGATTTCACAGCTATTTGTCAAACAAAGTGAGTACATGTTGCCTGTTCGAAAGTGTAGAGAGCACTGGAAGAATGTGGGGCATCAGTGATGGTATGAAGCTAGCTGCCGTTTCTTTTGCTCTTGAGTTTGAGCGATCTGGAAATGCAGAGATAATTTCATAAAAGCCCTGATTTGATGCCAAGTTTATATGGGAATAGTACTACTCTAGAGTCAGTGATGGAGTGCGAAGAGTGTCCAGTGTTCCTAAGTTTGAGCTTCTTCACCCGCACGAGATTTTTCTAGCAATATTCAACTAATTTTAAAAATCTTCGAAATTTAACTTTTTCGTCACACTCCGTATATTTACTGCACTCTATGTTAAAGCCATACGTAAGGGCTGGGTTACGATCTGTTGCCCAATGTATGCATGGTTTCTACCTTAGATTGAATTTTGTTGCGCAGATTACGGTGATTCTAACTTTCTTCCTTCCACAGTTGTATGAAAGCAGCTTTGTTTGATAAATTCTTCAACCTGGTTGTGCATTTCCTCTGTCTAGATTATGACTTCTGACTCTGAAGAGACTCAAAATCAAATTATACCATGCTTCAATTTTTTTTAATTGTCGTGACGTTTCGATAGCTAGCAATGATTGGCACAATTAGTTGAAAGAACTGGCTTTATCAGCTCATAATCGGCCTTAGACCTTTGCATGGTGTGATTTAAAAATTTAATGCAGAGGTTGGATCTAAACCAAGGATACTCCACCATATGACTGTAACAGATTTGAATAAAAACGGAAGACAGCGCTTAGCGCTATTAGTGCTGGGGGCTTGAGCACTGTGATGCACTTTTAGGACCATGAGGCAAAGGCCAGGGCATACCCTATGACGTAGATACATACCTGGGGACGAATAGGCAAATGCAATATTTGCTTCCTTGCAATGGGGTATATTCGAACTTTCTAATGGAATGATCAATGGTCATGTCATCACTCTACAAGCTTAAATGCCTGGCGGGGTAAGGAGGGAAACCTTTTTTCTGCAAGTACATGCAGTAGGTACGACTGGTTTTCTCAAAGGATTTTCCAAAATTCATCACAAGGATTTTTAATATTCATTACCACCCGTTGTCCTCAGCTCACTTTCAAGAATTTAGATTGGCCTTGGCTTCAATGTACAAATTCCTTGGAGGCTTTGTCACGCACATTTTTTGAAGAAAGAGCGATTTTTGAAGTGGGATTGTGCGGTCTATGGTCTTCTTAAATCAACTTTTTCTTTTGATTAGCTCCTTAGCATCTTAATCGTTTTGACAGATATGAGAATAATGTGATTTACTTTAATAGCTCAATGTTCTTTACTCTCTTGGCACTGCGCCAAGTCGACAGAGTTTCCAAACTTTCTCTCCACCGCACAACCTATTATCCAACTTCTGTGCGGGAGCCGTTGCGCTTTCTGCTCAGTAGAGGTTTGGAGAAAAAGAAGTGCAAAGCAAACATGGAAACGTGTACTGTGTGTCAAACGCCAGTTATCGCCGGTGCATGCGGTGTTATCAGACGACGATAAATCAAACTAACACCGCCTCGGCCTCTGCAAAACACAGCAACGCTGCCTGTAATGGGCCGTAAAGCTTATTAGATGCGAACTATAGAAGTTCGTTTCCAGAACGCTGGCCGATGTTTGTTGAGAAGAGAAAACAGTTACGGGAGCGATAATTCGGGCACACACAGTAAAATCCCAGTTCAGGGCATTTGCTTCACCTTCTTCACATGAAACTCGTCAAAACACAATTGTATGT